GAGTTACAGACGTACTCCATTCCTTCCCTCCTTCCTTCCTTCCTTCCTTCCTTCCTTCCTTCCTGAAACTGCCTTTAATGTCACTGTAAGGCAGCTGAGGTTGTCTGGGCAGTTGCTTCTCATTTGTGTCAGGTGGGCAACAGAGGAGCAAGGTGATAGAGCTTGCAAGGCACATTTCTTTTTAAAGCTCCTTTTGATTTCTCATGGAGGCCTTGTGTGGATGTCTGTTTACCCTTCCCATGAGCCAGAAGCCTGTTGTCTTGCAGGCCTGTGTCCATATGAGTGTCAACACTTATTTCAGTTGTGTAGTCTCCTACAAGTCCATGGTATGCTGGGATCCATACATTGACTCCCATTGTGTCCCTTAATAGTAGATGTCATAGTATTATCCAATTGCAAAAGATGGATCAATGTCCTCCCCTCTAATTGTGCTTTATTAGAAATTAATGCAAACTACCATTATAGCCAGCCTGATATTGCCAGGACTGTGAAATAGTGATGGTGTGGTGTTGCGTACATCCAGACATATAAATATATAATATGCATGCATGCATACTCATATGAACAGACACGCAGATAGAAAAGCCCTTGACATCAATGAGGCTGTGAATAGCTGAAGCTATGTTGCAGTCATTCTTTGTTCATAATATTTAGAGTCCCCTTATATAGGCAGGATTCTTTTCTGCTGATGCTGATTTTTCCTATAAGAAAAAAAGTGACAAAGGAGTTCTTACATGCATATAGCCTCAGGCATTGTTAAAAAAAAGAAGAAGAAGTTTTCCTTCATCTGTGTCCTCTTGCTGCAAATCAGTAATTGTAGCACACAGGCAGTTTCCCAGAACACCTATTCCCAAAACTCTGTTTGGGGTTGATTCTGATGCCTTGTTTTCCATTTCAGAATTGCTGATGATTGGGAAAAACTGTAGCCGGGTTCCATAGCATGCAAAGAGCAGGGAACTGACCTTGCAAGGGCATTGCCCACAAAGGAGTGGTTGGCTAACTGTGTGACTGGGGGTATTGAATATTCTTGCCAGCTTTTCCTTTGTGCAAAGGAACAGACTGGTCCAAGGTTTGGGGGCTTGCTACCAGCTTTCCCTCTGTGTTGGCCCGTATCCAAACACGCTCTGCATTGGTTGTTACGGAGCCTTTGCCAGTGTTTCCTCGGTTGCAAAGAGAGCATGTTAAGTGCGGTGTGCTTCCCTTTTCTGATCCCACACAGACACGTCTTCTGCGTCCGAAGATGAAGGGTCGCTCAGGCGCCAGGCTGCTCTATCTGCTGCATTGCATCAGAGCTTACAGAATGCTGAGTCATGGATCAACCGATCTATTCAGGGGTCATCCACATCTTCATCAGCATCTTCTACACTATCCCATGGAGAAGGCAAAGGGACCAGTGGGTCACTAGCTGATGTATTTGCCAATACTCGAATAGGTAGGAGCTGGGGGGTGGGGTGGACAGCAAAACTAAGTGCTTCAAGTCTTCATTTTGTGTAAAAGTTCCAAAATTTCCCAGTGTGGAAGGGGAATTGGCAGGCCAAATTATTTCCCATATCCTTGATCGCTTTAAGTGGCAGTCTACAAATAGTGAGCATGGCCCAAACACTTGGAGGTGCTCTCAGGTGCTAAAAAAAGAGCATTTGCCATAGAGAGAGGGAGAATATCCTAGTGACACTGTTCCAGTGGAGGATGCACTCCACAGCCTAACACTTTTTCTTTTTGCACATTGGTGTTGCTTTATGCTTGTAGCTGCTGTTGTGCAGGAAAGTGTGCTCACTCCTGTGTGAGCAAAGAGGTTGCCATAGCATATTTGTTCTGTGTTGCATTGCAGACATCTGTCCCTCAACCGACCAGAGGGGGAGGCCTTGCTGCTTTAAAACTGTTTACCCAGCAAAGGCCTGAATGACCGCTTGCAGCCTTGCAAATAAGTCTACAAAAGTTCAGTAGCCCACAGCTGTTTTTACCACCCCGTCTGCCTGCAGGAAGAGAGAACCAACTTCTGCAAAGCTTTCCTACCCAGTCACCTGCATGTGATTGTACTTATAGGTGCCCTGGCAAGTGGCTACTGAGAAACCCTGGCCTCTTGCATTTAGAAACATTTAACGAATGGATCAGGAAGTGTCCCGTCCCAGCCCAGCCCCACAGTAAGATTTTATGCAGCTTTGTTCAGGCCTGGATAATTTATCCAGTTTAGTATACACCTTTGTTGAGGAATCTAAAGATCTGGATACCCCAGGCTCAGTTTTTTGATGCTCTGAGGTGCTCCCTGCTGCTGGTGCTGCTGTATGAAATTTTGTAGGGTTTTGTTTTGTTCCATTGTACATGTTCTCTTGTTAATGTGTTCTGAAGGATATTGCTGCATCCCAGAGGGGTAGCTGTGTGTCTCTGTGCTCTCTGCTTTGGCTTAATTGGTTTCAGGCGAGCAATGTGTAGATGTTTGGTGTCTTTTAATTGCTTCATTTTATTTCTTTTAACCTGTATGTTGCTGGTGTCTTCGTCTCTCTTTCTGGGATGCAACTCATTTTCTAAAATGGAAAACTTGGGAGATTTACCTATTTAAAATTCCATCAGCATAAACAATGCTTTCGTCAAACAAAGAGATTCTCGTCAAAGTCATGGTGAAAACATGCTCTCAGATTGGATCTGCCTGCTATTCCATTGCTGAACAGTTAATGTCAAATTGGCGCTACAACATGTAGCTCTTTCTTATAAGTAAAACATTGGGAATAATAAACACAATTAAATTAGGAGCAGTGATTTCATTGGTATCATTGCATTTCCAACACAGAGACTGATGGATACACTGGTCACCATATACAAACATCATAAGGCCTGCCTGTAAATGTTAAGAGTATTTCAACATTTTAAAAACATAGCCCTGGATTGTTTTGGCACAGTAGCCCTCATTTGTTTAAAGGTTGTGAACCCAGGGCAGGAAGACATGTTAGTAAATAGGAGAGCTGGAATCAACCAAACCAGCCACCATGTTGTCAACACATAAGCCCAGGATCCCAGTGGGGACAGTCCTGGGATCTCTGAATTTTGCATGAGACCACTTGGAAACCTGGTGGCCACAGGAAGAAGCTCAGTCTATGCTGCATTTCACCCATGTTGAATTTGTGTGTGTTGTGTGCATGCAGAGTCACTATGTGGTAAAGTCAGCCTAGATTAATTTGGCTGAATTCAGTGGGTGATGGTAGCATGTGCACTTCTGTCTCACAATAGACTGGCACAATCAGAACTTGGCATTGACTGAGCTCTTTCTTCTGGCTTCCCGCTGCACACTGGGAGGGCACAGGCCCTTGAGCAAAACTGTGGCCTGTGTCATTGTTGGTTAGATGCAGGGGTCTTGTTGTAGAAAAAGAGCTGCCGGAGCTCATTAGCATAACTCATTAGCATAACTTATTTGCATATGCCACGCCCCCTGACATCACCGGAAGTGACAGAAGGCCACACCCCCTGACATCACCGGAAGTGTGTCAGAAGGCCCGGCTACTTACCCTCCTGCTTCATCCCCATTCCCAAACGGAATGAGGATCGAAGCAGAGGGCGGGGTAAAGAAGGGGGCGGGGCTTCACCACGTGACTGCCCCGCCCCCTAGAGGTTCTCTTCCGGAGCTCCGTACCTGAGAGCTCCCCCCCGATTAGAGCCCTGGTTAGATGAGCCACCCAGAGTAGGACTTGGAGAGATCTTTGAAGATGGACAGTAATGGAGACCTTATCCTTCTGTTCTGAAGAGGACTTTCTATTCTGGACATTGCCATGTCTGCACTGGAGACGATCTCCCTGCCCTTCAGTCCCTTTCCCGAGTTAAAGTGCATCTTTATATTCAGAGCCACCAAGCAGTGAAAACTCAGGAAACAGCTCGTGGTTCATAAAGACCCCATTCTTCTGAATGGTTTGCACATGTACTCAATAATGACATTGGTGCAGGGGGGGGGAAATTCATGGAACACATGTAATACATGTGTGAATTTCCAATTTGTTTTGTCCTCCGATGTGTATGTGGATGCAAGTGAACTTGTTTGCTGATATTTTCCACATCAGTGCTGTCAACAGAACGTGCTGCCTGCAAAAATTGAATATTCCACTGCTTACTCTTTCAAAAACCGTTGCGATCACTATATTCTCCCTCACTCGCATGTCTCCAAAATGCTTTCCGGTAGCCTTAACGCTGAACATTATTTTGGTGTAACTATTCAATTATTGTTTTTCCATCTCAGAAGAATAGAGCTTGTAGAATTAAGAACTGCCTAGAAATATATTCAGAAGTGCTACATTACACTGTAGTTCAGCAAAGGGTGGAGAATGTTGTATGCACAGTTATCTGATAAAGGCACAGAGAGCCATACCGGAACTGATAGACAGGCTTCTGCCTACAGGATCAGCGCCAGTATAGTTCTGTAAAACCGATGAAGAAAAAGCTCGTTGTTACATTTTAGGTTCCTGCTGTAGTGCATTTTTAGCTTGCTGGGCAATTTTTCTGCTGGCAGAATGGCAAGTGAACCGCTGAATCATCAGGGAGGCTTTCCTGAGATCAGAATTTTTGTGCAGGTCACACTTTTTGGTCAGTGTCCACTGTATCAGGCAGTAGTCAGACTACAAGAATACTGCTGTTCAGAGCAGTGTTTCCTTTTTCATTATGTCTCAGTATGGCAGTGGGGAGAAACGGTAGTTTACTTTTCTTGGGCTTTGTGGTGAGCATCCCAAATAAAGATCAGTTAGTCTAGATAACCTTCGGAGACCAGTGGCACAGTCTAGTTGTTGCAGCATTAGTACTTACTAATTAGTACAACTATCAGTCACGGTCCTCTTTCTTTCCTCTGAGTTAGTGGTTTATGTGCCATAATATCTGAAGACAAAGCAGGTAGATAATTGTAATACTGCATCTCAAGCCAATTTGGTAGTGGGAAGTAACCTGAATCTCAATTTTTTTTCTTCATCCTCTTTCCAGAAAATTTCTCAGTTCCCCCAGATGTTACAGCAACTACCTCCACACCAGCTTCCTCTGTACGCCCATCTGCTATTGACCTGCCTCCATCGGGAATAGTGAAGGGCATGCACAAAGCCTCTAACCGGTCCAGCCTTATGGACACAGCTGATGGTACATCCACCCCTCCACACCTTGGGAGAGAGAGAGAGCCTGATAGGCCAGCAATAAAAGTAGCTTATGCTGAGCCACAAAGCTCGTGTCATCTGTTCGGAACATCTGTCTGCATTGTCACTGCTAGTGGACAGTCATCTCACAAAAACAACTTTTACTATTTTGCTTTCTTGTGACTGGCAAGTGTGTGCATGGGGGGAGAGAGGAATTCATGCTGACACTTGCTCTTGGTTGTATTTTCAGTAATGCTTAAAATCCTTATGACTAATACATGATTAGTTGCTTCAAAGAGTGATTATTTTTGAGGGAAGAAGCCCCCATCTGCTTTGCTCCCCCCCCCCCCAATTCTGTGTAATTCATGCGCAAAAGGCAAAGAGTTTACAGAGAGAATACGCTTTTCCAGAACTGAAGCTTTAATCCCTGCCTAAGCTTTGGAGCAGGCCTGCTCTTCACTGGCATTGACTCTGTGCTCAGCTGTGGATTTGTTTCTTTTTTGCTGCTGGGTTGGGCATAAAAGAATTGATCCTTGTTGGGACAAGTCTCACGGGCGCCATTTTTCCCATGTAGGGGGAAGGAATGTGTTCTGCCCAAGATGTGTGAGAATTGCAAGGCTCTTTCTTCGATGCATGTCTTGTGAAACTAGAGCATGCAGTGCCATCCAAGCACAGTCTTTTATAACAAAAGATGCATGTGTTTTGTTTCCTCCTACATGCTGTGGCATAAGTGGTTGTACCTTCCCCAGCATGGAAACTAGCTACATGCAAGAAAACGACTTACGTCTGAAACATTTTTTATCCCCAAGCATGCAGCAAAAAATATTGTATGAATAAGCATTTGAGGTAAAGCAAAGAACATGTAATCCGGTCCTCAGTAGTTAGCTCAGCCCCACTCTGGGATTCTGCAGCTTGTGCTCCTTTCCATAGCAGCCCTATTGTCTCCACTACCGGAGCAGGACTCTGCTTTTTGATGTATGAGTAGGAAGGAAGCCTATTGCTCCCTGCAGTTCCATCCTTGCTGTTCAACCAACCTGGTTTGTGGATTAGTGGAAATGTTTCCTCCTTTCTCTGGACACTTCTTTCTTGCAGCAGAGGTCGTGCACTTCTGCATGTTTTCCCTGTGAAAAACAGGGTAGACTACAAAGATCCATCCAGAGCTAGAGTTAGCCTCTCTGAAGCGTCTGTGTGGTCACAAGCAAACCTGGTCTCTGGAACATGATGTTTAAGCAGGCACAGCCTGAGAATTGATTGGGATCCACCTCTTCAGCAGTGCGGTGGATAGTGGCTGTGGAAACGCAGAAGGGGCTTTGTGATAACTGAGTAAAGTGTATTGTATTGATAAATACTGGCTCCTGAAGCTTGCTGGTAGCACTGTTTTCAGAAGTTTTCTAAAAAGGCCATGATTGATAAGTGTACTAAGGGTAGAACTTGCCACTTTTAAAATACCTGCTGGGCTGGAGTTCTGCTGTAGACAGACAGGAAAGCACCCAACTGTAGTGCCTGTGAGATTTTGCGGCTAGAATAACCTTGACTGTAAACTGCCAAGGCTTGGAGTTCTCATACCACCCTCTGGTGGTCAGATCCTGTTATAGTGCTGGCCGGATAACTTGACCAGCTTACAATACACCAAGCCAAATGGAGCCCATCAGCCAGGTATTATGGCCGGTAAGGTGTGTGACAATACCCTGTTTTTGAAGTCCTAGGCAAGCAGCCAAAACAAGAAGCTTAAAATAGGCTTTGGTGGGTTGCCGTGTCAGGCTAGTAGATTGCACTCGCCACAGAGTCGCTGATTGTGCAGGTATGGTCATAAGAGAGGATACGTTTTCAAAACTTGTGCAGTATTACAATGGCTTTGGGGAGGAGGGAAAATTGAGTTTAATTAGCAGTAGCCGCTTCTGGCACACCTGGTTTAGTATTCTAATAATCTAATATTCTAATCAAAGATTAGTGCTTGATTGGAAGAATTCTGCTTTGTATAGTAATTGGGGGTGATGTCATTTCAGTGGTCCTTCATATAGAATCACTGTTCTCTGTAGGTAACATTTCCCCTTGATGAACTGAACTCATTTCCCACACTGCAGGTGTCCCTGTAAGTAGCAGAGTCTCCACGAAAATTCAGCAGCTGCTCAATACTCTAAAGCGACCCAAACGGCCACCCCTGAAGGAATTTTTTGTGGATGATTTTGAAGAAATTGTTGAAGGTATCTGGTTGTGTATACTGTCACTGAATTTTCTGAGATTAGCATGTAGCTATGTTAGGATACCTTACTGAAATAACGTAAGAAAATTCCCTTGCTGGATCAGACAAAAGGCTGTTCTTTTATGGCATCCTGTTTCCTACAGTAGCTAACCAGGTACTCTAAGGAAGCCTACAAGCAGATTGTGAAGTTCGTAGCTCTCCCCGATGGTTGACCCCCCCTGCCCCAGGAATTCAGTGGCCTGGGAATAGGGACAGAACAAGTGCTCAGCCTTTTGTTTGGAAGAGCCCAAGTGTAAAGTTAGTAGCTCTCCCCGATGGTTGACCCCCCTGCCCCAGGAATTCAATGGCCTGGGAATAGGGACAGAACAAGTGATCAGCCTTTTGTTTGGAAGAGCCCAAGTGTTTTTGCCCAGCCGTTCTTGGTTGGTTGCCTTTTCTTTGACCAAGTGGTTCCAAAGATTTGGGGGCAGGGGCAGGAGATGTGAGTGTCTTTTGCATATTACAGGGTGCATCTTTAATATTTGACATGATCTTGAGAAGGTGGATGCTGAACTGTGGCAGTCTCCCTGGAAGAGCAAAGCTTAGATGTAGCACGTGTTTCCATCACTTGGCGTTGCTATTATTTTTGCCTCCCTTAACATCCAGCAGCATGTGGTATTTTGTCCTGGACATAATGAGGCAGAGTTGGGCCATGGGTATGGCATGGGGGGGTTCCTGTTGAAGCCATAGAGGTGAGCCTAGGGAAACCAGAATTTTTTGTTCTTCCCACATGTGCAAGATTGATTTATCCCCTACAATGCTGGACCAAGATATTTTGCCAACCAGCTAGGTACCTCATACAATCCAAGAGTTGTGTCCCGACATCCTGAGCAGCATAGCAAAGGGGAAAATGTACTTCTCAGGTTGGAAAATTGCAGTCCCTAGTGACTGTGCGGTTGGACACACCTAGCACCTCTTTGTAGATCTCCAGAGTGTGACAAAATCTATGATAATAATAGCCAGCTGTATTGTGACTTATTGTTCCAACCATCTGGATCTTGTCCTCCTCTCTCCACCTCACCCCAGTTTAAATAAATCCTTTTTTTAAACCATTAATAGACCTTCTGCTCACAAAGATAATTGTGCTTTCTGTCATCTATGTTTCAGCCATCTATTCCTGCCATCTGCCCCGCTTCCCTGGATGCGTGTAAGAGCATCTCTTTTGTCTGCGAAGCCACTTCTCTCACTTCCTCAAAGCCCCCTTAATCTACAGATCCTTTTCTGGACCACTGTGGCCCTGCCTTCTACGCTCTTTTCTGCTACCAGTCTCTTCCTGTACGCGGTGTCTGGTGCTTTCGAAATCAGGCTTTATCTTGACCCTTTTCAATTGTCTTCTTTGGCTGGCTGAGATTTTAGCCTTTCTGGTCACAAACGGTCACTTCTTTGATATTTTACCTAGTCGATGCTACATAATTGCACCGTAGTAATAATGGTAGGTTCCTGCCAAACACGGTCAAGTTAACATCTGCAGTTTTTGTCTTCAGAAGGGTACAGTTATCCCATCTCCTGCTGGGAAGCATCTCCTCTTAGCAACAGATAGGTCCCGATTGCCTCTGCCTTTTAAAAATGGATTTTGAAACCCTGATTTCTAAAATAATTTCTGAATGGGAGGGGGAAATCCTGAGCATCAATGATCTAGGCTTCGTTTTTTGCACAGTTCAATACAGTATGCAGAGCTAGTTTCTTTTGCGAAGGGTTTTTTGATCTGGGAATGCCCTTTTGCAGTTCCACAGCCAGACCCGAATCAACCCAAGCCAGAAGGACGCCAGATGACACCCGTGAAGGGTGAGCCCCTGGGAGTTGTATGCAATTGGCCTCCTGCCCTGGAAGCAGCTCTGCAGCGCTGGGGAACCACACAGGCCAAATGCTCTTGTCTGACAGCCCTGGATGTCACTGGGAAGCCTGTCTACACCTTGACGTATGGTGAGTAGTGTGTGTTCCTCTTAACTCCATCTGCTTTGCCACAGTGGGATTTTTAGTCATGTGTAGCTTTGTGTCTGTCTCACATAGCTGGGTGCTCAAGCAGTTTGCTTAGAAGAGTAGTATTTTGCCATTTCTGTTTTCTCCTCTGCACTGATAACAGGTTTCAGTTGTAACTGTACTCAGCATAGGCTGTTGATGTAGGTAGACGGGGAGCTAGAAAGGATGGCAGGCGATGCAGGCGGGGTGCATGAAAATGGGGAATCCAAGCAATGTGAACAGCAGGCTAAAACTTCCATGATTAGATTCTGATTCCACAATGTGTGCCTCTGTTCAGTAAGAGATTTGTAGTTCGCCGTGCAGCGTATTGGATTTGGTTCTGTGGGGAGCCAATTTCAAATTGCAGATCTCTCCTTGGTGCTCACTTGGGTATCCTTGGCAAGTTAGTGTTTGTCTTGGCCTCGCTGCTTCATGTGCAAAGCTAGAATATTAATGATATCTCTTCCTGGCTTTTTGTGAGAATAAATAAAATTAATGTCTTTATGCCTCCTGAACCTGTAGGGGCATAGTGAATTATACATATAACAAAGTAAATAGGTGAAATCTTTATCAGCCTACAGCCATTATGGACATTGTTTTCTGGGCATGAGATTGCTCCTGTGAGTGAATCTTTTTGCATTACCACTGTGGGGAAATGCAGCTGTTGCCATTTTAGATCCAACCTGAGTTGATTGGTTACATACATGAATCGCTTCCCTGTTGCATTTCTCTAGGGACCCACAAAAGGAGATGATTCGTATATACAAGGCCTCTTCTGAGTGGTGTATATATGCTGAGCTTTTTTTTTTTTTAAATCAAGTTGCCTTCTAAGGGACGTCAAAAGCTTTTCTGTTAGCCTATATTTTGAATAACTCAATGTGCCTTAGCTAATCTTGGCTAGGGAGACAGTGATGTAAGCCCTGCCCCATAATCTCTGGAAATCCTATTCAGTCCTCCACCCCACCATCTGACTGGGATGTTTCACCAGATACTGTGTACACATTTAAAGGTGATCTTTGAAGCTGTAAGAGCTAGAAACTTGCTTTTTAACCTGACCCTGACCCCGATAATCTAAGAAGGCCGAATTCTCATCCCAATACAGAACTCCCTGGTTGCATGGAACTGTAGGTATAGGCTGTAGTCCTGTGCCAGGAAGATAACTTGTGTATGTGTTCTCAAAATGTGGATTGTTGCAACTCTTCTTTTTTTAATTGCTCAGATTTAAAAAGACGTTCTGCTGCTGCTGGGATTTGCCTCATTGGGAAATGATGCTGTCACTAGTTTGAATTTAGGCCCGAGAGTCATAACAGTTGGTTTTAGGAGTATTAGAGCGGGCCTTAATGGATTAAAGCAAAGGGGAATTATTGCCAGCCCAATGACCTTTTAGTTTTCCTTCTTGGCTCTGAAAGGGAGGGGAAACACTAGAAGCATGTATTGTTCTTGGGAGCTCTTGTGAGGGCTTCAGAACCAGGATTCCCATCTGGTGGTTATATCTCAGCCATTCTGATTTATCTGTTGTGCCTATATAAGCTGTATCCCTGCCTACCTAATAAGACCATGGGTCCCAATTTGTAGTGCTTATTGGAAAGAATAGATATTTGCTCTGCGTACATGGTGCCGTAGCTGGCTGATGGCGAAGCCTTAATTGCCTTTCTCTCCATTCCAGGCAAGCTGTGGAGCAGAAGCCTGAAGCTGGCCTACACGTTGCTAAATAAACTGGGCACCAAAAATGAACCTGTTCTGAAACCTGGGGATAGAGTAAGAAACTTTATTACTTGGTCTCTCCCTCTCTCTCCTTTTAGAGAAAGCATTATGATACGTGTCTGTGCTTTTAAATGTGTGTTTGTGTCCCTTGTCTTATTATAAATGTTAAAAAAGTGATTTTTTAAAATAAATTGCAGCTTTTGAATTGTCCATCTTGCCATCACCCAGTGAACTGATATATGTCCTTGGCAGAGTTGCATAACTGATCTTGATTTGGGTGTATAATGGGCCAAGCTTTAATGCTGCCCCTTCTGCATTGTCTAACTGAATATTTCTGTGAACCACAGGTAGCCCTTGTTTACCCCAACAATGACCCTGTTATGTTCATGGTGGCATTCTATGGCTGTTTGCTGGCAGAAGTCATCCCAGTGCCAATTGAAGTACCTCTAACCCGAAAGGTAATGTTAATGCAACTTAGAAGGGGTGGGGTGAAAACCAAGTCAGGCTGTGTCAGCCTTGGATGTGGTTAGATTTTGATGGGTGTCCCAAACTTGCCAAAGAGGAGTTCTGGAGGTCCTACCTTTCATGAATATTACATGCAGACAAATACTGTGAAGTGCAGGTGTCCACTTGTATCTGCCTCTTACACAGAGTAGACAAGAATGGGCGACATGTGGAAGTTCCCCATTTCCCCCCACTTGTTCTGTACTCAAGGTCTTACTCTCACAGGGGCTGAGCACCAAACACCTTTTGGTAACTGTACTAAGATCTGTGTGTGATTGTTGGGCCACACTGCCAAAAAGATATATATATATATATTTAAAAAGAACAGTAGGAATGAGTTAGTCTTGTGGTCATACTGATTTTCGTGGGACTGCTTTGTTTTTGAAAATTGCCTTGATTCCTTTAAATGTTGGGATTTTTCTAGATTACTGTTTCAATAAATTAAGACACTGAAATTTCTTCAGTGGACATGAAATAGTCCTCCTAAATCTGACTAAAACGAAGTATACCTGTGCATTCTTATCCCACACTTCCTCAGAGGAGCTCAGGTAGCAATACATGGCACTTCTCTCCCCCATTTTGTCCTTGCAAACAACCCTTGAGGTAGATTTAGGTGGGTAGCTGTGTTGGTCTGAAGCAGCAGAACAAAGTTTGGGTCCAGTGGCACCTTTAAGACCAACAAAGTTTTATTCAAAGTATAAGCTTTTGTGTGCCAGTACACTTCCTCAGGTACAGTGGAATAAAATCTCCTCAAGCCCTACTTACAGGAAAGGGGGGGGGGCAGCCATTAGGAAGGGCCAGTCAGAGCCAAGATGCATATGCAAAGCTGAAATTGGATCAGGTGGCCAGTAAGATCAGTGAAGGGCAGCAAATTAGCACGTCAATGCAAGAGCTAACAAAAAGATGTGAGAACGAAGCTAGAGTCCAGAGGCATCCCCCAAAACAAACCAAGCTCAACCCTGGGTACGTGTGAGAACAGAGACTCAGCATGTGCACACTTCTTCACACACACTGAAACAGATTTCCTCAAATATTACATGCCCCAAACCATTTAAACCATTGCTGCTTCCTGCTCCCCGCAAAAAGCTGCGGGGAGCTAAAAGTAGTGTTTAAATGGAAGGGGTGAAGAGCCTTCCAGGGGACACTTCACTTCCACCTCGGGCTCCCTGGTGCAGTCCCTTTAAACGGACTCTGTGAGCGAGCCTGAGACAACTGTTCTGGCATGGAGAAGTCTCTCCCACCGCCTCAACTGCCTTGGGCTCCCCAGCACAGCCCCTCTCTCTCTCTCTTTTTTTAAAAATTAAACTTTTATTTGATTTTCACTAATATTAGGACACCTTAAACCTTTGTTTCCATACCTCTTTCATTTGCATAATTTCTATAGCTATAGATGATTAATCCAATCACTAAAATCTTCTATTATGGTTCCTGAAAAAGTACATATTCTTTACAGTTCACATTACATTTATCCTAAGTTTATCGTAACTATAATCCATTATTCATGATCCTCCTTTTCATAGTTTCTTTTCACCCATTCATAAAAGGGTATCCAATTTTCTCTCACATTTTTTTTTTACTTTGGTCTTTCAACGAGTCCGTCAGTATATCTATTTCCGCTGTTTAAAAGATTTTTGTCAAGAGTTCATCTTTTGTTGGTATCTCTTGATTTCTTCCAATACATAGCATAGAGAATTCTTGCGGCTGTAACTATTCCAGCACAGCCTCTGTAAACAGGTTGCATGAGGGAGCTGGAGACAGCTGGGCCAGCAGATAGGAAGGGGTTAATTGCCTTCCGGGGGACATTTCCCCTCCTCCTTTCTTCTGGCTGCGGCCAGTAAAGGGTGTGTGTGTGTGTGTGAAGTGCCCACTGGGAGGCACTTTACCCCCATATTTAACCCTATGGTTTTGCTCCCCACTCCTCTGCTTCGAAGTGGCAGGGAGCAGAACTGGAAGGTTTAAATGACTATCAGCTGCTCAGATGTTTGATTTAAATGGTTTGGATCCATTTAGACACCTGCTTTCTGCTTTTGCGGGGGGGGGCAGAAAGCAGGGTTTTAAACTTTAAATGGGTCACGGACCTATATGAATGGGTCAGTTTGGGAACCGGCATGCCCGTTCTGTTCGGCTCGTGGTTCAGCCATGAACCTAACCGCAAAATGTGATTCGTGCCAGTTCCTATTTTTCACCCTAGTAAATTCCTTTGTATAGCTCCGGGCTGATGTGGGTGGGAAAAGAGAGACAGGTCCATTATCGGTGTGCTGTTTAAATTCCTTCTAAAGTGCTTGATTATCTGCTTTTCTGATTGACTTTTTTTTTAATGCTGTGTGTCTTAGGCCCGTCCTTTGAATGCCACGGCTCAAGTCCAGAATGAGAGTGGGCTTATGCATGCTGCCAGCCCTTACTCCTCTTTGTTATTTTTTTTTCTAATCTACTGAACTGTGGGGGCGGGGGGGGGCAGGCAGGAGTGCAGGCCTGGTTCTGTTCCATACTCAGACCTGTAGGGTCTCCTGTCCAGTTCTGCCACAAACTCCCGTTGCCAGTGTTAGCTGTGGCCCCCATCCCACTAGTGCAGATCTGCCTGTATGTCATTTCTCACATGATGGGCCTGCCAGCCTACTCCTGTTTTTCTGTTGAACTACCCAAGTTCTGCTTAGTCTCATTTGTGGCATATGGTTGCTTAGTCGCGCAAATTGCAAGAAGTGCACAGAACAGGAAAGAGCGGGGACATCTTCAGTAGATAGAAGCAACTGAGGTGAGAGCCTGGTAAGGAATGTGGCAGTCTGAAGACAACTTAGTGCTCTGTGACTCCTGTGCAAGGACAGAATTCAGTGCCCTGAGAAGCTGAGCTGTTCATTTATTTATGCTAAATATGTGTTTCATAACAGTGACTATGGGTATTGTATAGAAAAAGGCTTTTTAAAATCCTCCCTGCTTGGGCCAGATGGCCTTGCTGGTAACACTACCACGTGATTCCTTCACCTGTGCAAATGGCTTGCCAGATGGCCAGGCCGCATCTCCATAGACAAGACACTTTGAAACCTCTGCCAAGAGAGAGCGACTTGCCGGCGCCTTCCCAAGCATGGGACGAGCTATGCCCAGTACATTAGCACATCAAAAGCATTCCCTGACATGACACATGGTCAATAGGAGAGGCTGGAGTGGGATGCCCAACTCCTAGCCAATCAAAACATACCTTGCCTGACAACGTATGGTAACCAGAGATTGGAACGCCTTCCCACTCTCTCACTATTGGGTAAATGGCCATACCTGGTGGTGACCGGGGTGTGTGTGTGTATCAGGAATGATCCATATGGGAAACAGAGAGTTAGAGGAGAGTTAAGGGAATTCCTCTCTGGAAACAAAGAGTTCTTTTGGATTGACTGTTTGCTGTTAATATGGAGTGAGACTGTTAGGCAGCCAAGCTGGACTAGCTGCCCACAAAACCATGGGGTTTCTTTTCAAGATCCCCTGGTGAGACCTTGGACTATTTCATCTGATACCTCTAAACGCCTGGTAACTATGGAATACCTCTATTGTGTCGTTAGAGCTGAACAAGCTATAGATATCATTTGGTTTCTTATCTTTTGCTAGTCTCATGTTATATGCATGCTTGTGCACTGAAAGTGAAGGGCAGCAAATTAGCACGTCAATGCAAGAGCTAACAAAAAGATGTGAGAACGAAGCTAGAGTCCAGAGGCATCCCCCAAAACAAACCAAGCTCAACCCTGGGTACGTGTGAGAACAGAGACTCAGCATGTGCACACTTCTTCACACACACTGAAACAGATTTCCTCAAATATTACATGCCCCAAACCATTTAAACCATTGCTGCTTCCTGCTCCCCGCAAAAAGCTGCGGGGAGCTAAAAGTAGTGTTTAAATGGAAGGGGTGAAGAGCCTTCCAGGGGACACTTCACTTCCACCTCGGGCTCCCTGGTGCAGTCCCTTTAAACGGACTCTGTGAGCGAGCCTGAGACAACTGTTCTGGCATGGAGAAGTCTCTCCCACCGCCTCAACTGCCTTGGGCTCCCCAGCACAGCCCCTCTCTCTCTCTCTTTTTTTAAAAATTAAACTTTTATTTGATTTTCACTAATATTAGGACACCTTAAACCTTTGTTTCCATACCTCTTTCATTTGCATAATTTCTATAGCTATAGATGATTAATCCAATCACTAAAATCTTCTATTATGGTTCCTGAAAAAGTACATATTCTTTACAGTTCACATTACATTTATCCTAAGTTTATCGTAACTATAATCCATTATTCATGATCCTCCTTTTCATAGTTTCTTTTCACCCATTCATAAAAGGGTATCCAATTTTCTCTCACATTTTTTTTTTACTTTGGTCTTTCAACGAGTCCGTCAGTATATCTATTTCCGCTGTTTAAAAGATTTTTGTCAAGAGTTCATCTTTTGTTGGTATCTCTTGATTTCTTCCAATACATAGCATAGAGAATTCTTGCGGCTGTAACTATTCCAGCACAGCCTCTGTAAACAGGTTGCATGAGGGAGCTGGAGACAGCTGGGCCAGCAGATAGGAAGGGGTTAATTGCCTTCCGGGGGACATTTCCCCTCCTCCTTTCTTCTGGCTGCGGCCAGTAAAGGGTGTGTGTGTGTGTGTGAAGTGCCCACTGGGAGGCACTTTACCCCCATATTTAACCCTATGGTTTTGCTCCCCACTCCTCTGCTTCGAAGTGGCAGGGAGCAGAACTGGAAGGTTTAAATGACTATCAGCTGCTCAGATGTTTCATTTAAATGGTTTGGATCCATTTAGACACCTGCTTTCTGCTTTTGCGGGGGGGGGCAGAAAGCAGGGTTTTAAACTTTAAATGGGTCACGGACCTATATGAATGGGTCAGTTTGGGAACCGGCATGCCCGTTCTGTTCGGCTCGTGGTTCAGCCATGAACCTAACCGCAAAATGTGATTCGTGCCAGTTCCTATTTTTCACCCTAGTAAATTCCTTTGTATAGCTCCGGGCTGATGTGGGTGGGAAAAGAGAGACAGGTCCATTATCGGTGTGCTGTTTAAATTCCTTCTAAAGTGCTTGATTATCTGCTTTTCTGATTGACTTTTTTTTTAATGCTGTGTGTCTTAGGCCCGTCCTTTGAATGCCACGGCTCAAGTCCAGAATGAGAGTGGGCTTATGCATGCTGCCAGCCCTTACTCCTCTTTGTTATTTTTTTTTCTAATCTACTGAACTGTGGGGGCGGGGGGGGGCAGGCAGGAGTGCAGGCCTGGTTCTGTTCCATACTCAGACCTGTAGGGTCTCCTGTCCAGTTCTGCCACAAACTCCCGTTGCCAGTGTTAGCTGTGGCCCCCATCCCACTAGTGCAGATCTGCCTGTATGTCATTTCTCACATGATGGGCCTGCCAGCCTACTCCTGTTTTTCTGTTGAACTACCCAAGTTCTGCTTAGTCTCATTTGTGGCATATGGTTGCTTAGTCGCGCAAATTGCAAGAAGTGCACAGAACAGGAAAGAGCGGGGACATCTTCAGTAGATAGAAGCAACTGAGGTGAGAGCCTGGTAAGGAATGTGGCAGTCTGAAGACAACTTAGTGCTCTGTGACTCCTGTGCAAGGACAGAATTCAGTGCCCTGAGAAGCTGAGCTGTTCATTTATTTATGCTAAATATGTGTTTCATAACAGTGACTATGGGTATTGTATAGAAAAAGGCTTTTTAAAATCCTCCCTGCTTGGGCCAGATGGCCTTGCTGGTAACACTACCACGTGATTCCTTCACCTGTGCAAATGGCTTGCCAGATGGCCAGGCCGCATCTCCATAGACAAGACACTTTGAAACCTCTGCCAAGAGAGAGCGACTTGCCGGCGCCTTCCCAAGCATGGGACGAGCTATGCCCAGTACATTAGCACATCAAAAGCATTCCCTGACATGACACATGGTCAATAGGAGAGGCTGGAGTGGGATGCCCAACTCCTAGCCAATCAAAACATACCTTGCCTGACAACGTATGGTAACCAGAGATTGGAACGCCTTCCCACTCTCTCGCTATTGGGTAAATGGCCATACCTGGTGGTGACCGGGGTGTGTGTGTGTATCAGGAATGATCCATATGGGAAACAGAGAGTTAGAGGAGAGTTAAGGGAATTCCTCTCTGGAAACAAAGAGTTCTTTTGGATTGACTGTTTGCTGTTAATATGGAGTGAGACTGTTAGGCAGCCAAGCTGGACTAGCTGCCCACAAAACCATGGGGTTTCTTTTCAAGATCCCCTGGTGAGACCTTGGACTATTTCATCTGATACCTCTAAACGCCTGGTAACTATGGAATACCTCTATTGTGTCGTTAGAGCTGAACAAGCTATAGATATCATTTGGTTTCTTATCTTTTGCTAGTCTCATGTTATATGCATGCTTGTGCACTGAACAAAGATAATATATAATCAGTATTATCTGGACCTGTTTTCTCTGTTGCAACCTGATCTCTAAGACTGAATCTTGTGCCTAAAGCCGTTCGCCTAAGGGGGCTACCACTGTGGTACTTAATTGTTTGCAGCCCTGGTACAGAGCTAGTAAACTGGGTCAGTCCAATAAAGCAAGAAGGAGTTTGGGATCTCTGCTCCTGAGCTGTGGCGTGGGACTGGTTAACGAGAGTTCCTGGTGGCAGACTACCGATAAAGCCTGGAGAGTGTGCAGACATTCTCCTGGCATTTGTTTAATTGTTCCTGAACCCTTGGTTTCTCTCCCCATCCCTGGACTGGGGTGAGGGAGAGAAACCTTGGCAGGTATAACTTAGGATGTCTAGAATGCTGTGCCTGCACGTTAAACAATTTTAATCCTTGGAATTGTTTCACTGCAGACTTGGCAGTAGCTCCTTCCACTTGCTTTGTTTTCTCCCATCTTTTCACCACTCCATGCTCAGTTCCCCCTCCTCTCTGCCTTTCTGTTGTCTGAACCTCCTATTTTGCTATACTTCTCATTGTGGTTGGAGTTACTTGAACTTCAAACCATTGGTAAATGAATCTGAATGTCTTTTTTGGCCATAGTGTTAACATCCGGTTACCAAAGCTTTTCTAACGCCTGGGGTCTTTCTGGGCAGTGTGAAATGGGCATTCTCCCCCCCCCTTCCAATTTGCAAATCACTGAGGTATCTTTCCTTTTCCCACAGGATGCTGGAGGCCAACAGATTGGATTTCTGCTGGGCAGCTGTGGCATCGCTTTGGCCCTCACCACAGAGGTTTGCCTAAAGGGTCTCCCTAAAACACAGAATGGAGAGATTGTGCAGTTCAAAGGTTTGTTCTTGTTTTATGGGGTGCCCTCACTCTGCATGGCATGTCACAAAACATATAAAGCAGGACAGGCTGAGTTTGCAATCTCAGGTTCCAAAAAGGGTGCGGCAGTGAACTGAGGGAAGGGAAGGAGACCAGCATGGGAGGCACACACTGCCTTGTTTTTGTAAAACCAGGAGAGCTGTCAATGATTGTTTATCAAAGGCCCCGGTCACACGGAGCATTAGGCATGCTAGAGAGACAGAAGATAGGCGGATTTTCCGGGCGCGATCTCACCGCCACATCTGGGAAGCGTAGAGCTCCCGTGGCGCACCCAAGGCTTCCCGCCGAAGATGCGGGGTAAAAAATAGTACCTCGGAGGTACTAGTTTCCTGAAACCGCGGGGCAAGGGCGGGCGTCTGATCGCATTTCCAGTGGTAGTTCCAGCGCCCGCCCATATCCCCTCGCAAAAAGGTGTTTTTTCCCCCCAAGTCTCCACGGATGCGCACAAGCACCCAACAGAGCATGCGCACATTTCAGTTTTTTAAAAAACATAACCCCGTTTGCCACGCCGCTCCGCTTCTTTGCCGTGTCGTGTGATCGGCACCTCCCCCCTAATCATGGAAGCTCGATGGGACCTCAACCCGACGCCTGATCGCGCAGTCGCGCGTTAGTTTGCTCCGGGGCAAACAGCCACGCCTCCCCCCCGCATTTTCCTGCCCGTGTGGCCGAGGCCAAAGTTAGGTTACCGACCAGCAGTTAAAATAATTTAAGTGCTATAAGGTGACTCCAGTTGTTCCTGCAACTGACCTTTACTCTAGGTTGGCAAAAGTAGTTCTTGAACTTGGCTTTTCAAATTGTATACATTTCCTAGCTTTGCTGCTCAGAACCCCTAAAGTAGAATAACTAGGGATTAAAGCTGGGGACCTTCATGCATAGTTTGCACTCTTACTAAACTATAGCCCATAAGGTTTTGGGGTGTTTTTTTAGAAAGCATTTTTGGTAGTAGCTTAAAAGCCAAACCTGCTGTTGAACAATGCAGCCCTGTGTTTCTTGAGCTTTTTCATACCCAGTGGCAACTTCTCACACCTGCACAGGTATCATGTACAACACCTCTGCGTACCTAAGTGTAAAAACCACACATTTTGCCATCTTTACAACAGAGCATCTCATAATCATTTTTCCAATATGGCAAACCATCTCTGTTTAGGAAGAATATCTTCTCTGAAGTGGCCATGCCTTTTTGTGTTTCTCTTTTGTAGTTCCCAGTTGCCCTAGCCTAAGTTGTTAGCAGTTATCTCTTTTTCTTTTCAAATGATTTTCTTTTTCACGAGGATTAGAAACCTGGCATTATTATTTTTTTAAATGGAAGTTAAATCTGGATTGTAAGGAATGCAACTGACTTATCTCAGGGAGTCAAAGATTCAGTGATAACCCGTCTGTACAAAAGTCTATCCTCACTAGGTTTAAAGACTTTCTGTGGTTCTAGGTTGGCCTAGGCTCAAGTGGGTGGTAACGGATTCCAAGTACCTCTCCAAATCACCAAAGGACTGGCAGCCCAACATTTCAAATGCAGGGACTGAACCAGCTTACATCGAGGTATGTAGAGAATGGAAGTTAACAAAATGAACAGCACCGCCTGTGGCTGTTGAACTTGTAATGTCTCTGGGCTGTTCTGAGCATCTGGCTGCCTTCCTGCAAAAAACTTCATATCTCCTTCATGTACTTTCTTCAGAATTTATGCTGTAAGCATCACTTAAGGATTGTTCAAAATCCCCGTCCATTCTTCACTGAGCTCTGGGTCTACTCAATTAAAAAATGAAGGTATCGTTTCCCCTGGAGTGCTCAGAGAGAGTAATTTCACTATAGTATGCTTAAATTGTCAAGAGGGCTTAAGATCAATAACTCCAGCACACCGGCTTCTTTCCTTATGCAATTTAGGCAACTTTTATTATGTGCTGTAACCCTTCTGTTGATATGTGATTTCTTTCGTCTGGGCTCTGAAAACCCTTCTTCCTTTTGTGCTGCTGTTGTCTGTTCTTCTGAAGTACATATTTCTGTTTATTCAGGGCAGCATCCCTTTCTGCACTTCCAGTTAGGGAAGCACTTCAGAAGTTTGTTCTGGAACTCCTTGCAAAGGTTCTTTTTTTGCCCAAGGAGATGGGCTTGTGTACCATTCCTGAATCGGCTTCCCTGCCCATTTATGAGATACTGGGGGGTGGTGCAGGATAGCAAATTCAGGCTTTTAACCCCTTTACTGTAGCTAGAATACTGTTTGTTAGCACACTTCACACACACTGTCAACTCACCCCTTGCCTTCATCCTTATGCCTCTGAATGGTTAAGGTAACTTTTAACATCATTGACTCCTATTATGCAGGCCTAATGCAAATTTGATACATTTCCCCCCCCAGTACAAGACGAGCAAGGAAGGGAGCGTGATGGGTGTAACGGTGTCCCGAATAGCCATGTTGTCTCATTGCCAGGCTCTGTCTCAGGCCTGCAACTATTCTGAAGGTGAGTACTGTGCTGCTTGAATGTCTTGCATGCAGGGGGGACAGATTGTGTTCTGTCAGATCACTTTTCCCTGAGAAGTTTCAGCCATGATGCAAAGTTCTGTGCTTATTGGGTGTTGTGGACTTCACCCCATAAATCCAAATGATTGTTTGCAAGCCAGTTTCACACATCAAACAAGATGGAGCTTGGGAATGATGTTTCAGGCCTCTTCCTATTTCTTGTTTTAGGTGAAACCATAGTGAATGTCCTGGATTTCAAGAAGGATGCCGGCTTGTGGCATAGCATGTTAACAGTGAGTCACCATTTTGAGGGGATGGGAACCTGTTTTTTATAAGCTTCCCTCAGCCTAGGTGTACCGTGTAGAGGAGTTCTGAAGAACTGCATGGCAACATGGAGTGAAATCCGTCACCATACTGAGAATCCGTGGCTCCTGGAATAATGGTTTTCTATTCCTCATGATTATGAAGGAAAAATGTTTGTGGGCAGTGTGAGACAATAAAATGTGGACATAATCTGGAGAATTCCAACAGTAGGGTCTCATGGAGGTGCATAATAAGTCAGTACAGGCAGGGAGGTGTGGATAAGATTCCACAGAACATGGCTGGTAGTTTGATATCATATCAGACTCCTATTTCCTTCCCCTTCCAGTCTTAGCATACATCCCCATGAACCATTCTACTTTCTAAGTCATTGATTCCAACTTTCGCAGTAGGACTGATACAAAGAATGCCAACTTGGATAATTAATTCCACTTTTAGAGTTTGCGTTTCCTGGCTGCTGCATGTAGGAGTTTCTGGTTATAGGTTTCCTGGCACCTTGATTAAAAGAAAAAACAATAGCCTTGTGTCACTCTGATGACTCAAGAATGAATTGTGGTATGAGGTTGCCTAAGCTACAGCCAGCTTCTCCAGATATTCCAGTTATATGAAATGTGTACATTAAAGGGGGAAGTTTTAGCATCCCGACACTTCTTCTGTTTTAATATTGAGATGCATAACATTGGTGAATTTTTTTTTAGAAACATGTTTTAGTTGTCCAAGTGCTACATTTTTAAACCCTTGTTTTTGTTTCTTTCTGAAATGTTGTTAGTTGACTCCAACTTGAGGAGTAAATTGAGTCTGATATATCCTTTTAGAGTAGAGATTTATTTTATATGCTAATGTTTGAGTGTAGACTTCTGTGAAGATGTGGGATGTTTTTGAATATTAGTTGCCATGCTGGTTGAGGGAGTTCAGCTGTGTGTTTTTTTTACACATGTACTTGGAAATACAGCCTTCCCGCTATTGTGTTTTACTGGCATGTGGGTATGTGTTTTTTAATAAGTTTGGCTCTCTCTCTCTCTTTTGCCTTGCAGAGTGTAATGAACAAGCTGCATACTATCAGCGTGCCCTATTCTGTGATGAAAACCTGCCCTCTTTCTTGGGTACAGAGAGTTCACACTCACAAAGGTAGCATAGGAATTGAACAGCACACTATCCTTCTCTAGCATATCTTGCCCCTGCAGATTAAAGTGGTTTCCTGGGGTGAGGTGGGTGGCATCTAGGGTTTTTCAGTGCTTCACGGGACTGGACAAGATGCCAGGAAAGGTGGTAAGGAACCCACAGATTTTATGCCTGGCAGAACTGGCTTCCCAGTTGTTGTGCCTCTTTTTTTTCACTTGTCTGCTTTTCATTCATTCTATCCATATCACTATAGCAGAAGTCCTTTTAGAACCCAATAAAGATTATCCCCAGAGTCATAGAATCTGAGTGCTCTAATAGCCATGTGGATCCAGAGGCTGAAGGGGGAAGGGACTGACATCAACCTTTCCTCTTCCATCAGCAGAGCTGCACTCATGGAAGAGACAGGGTGATTTCCCCCCTTCTGTCTGCACCCTCCTGACCTATGTAGTTATTACTCCAAGTGAGCCCCACAACCACGGAAATAAACTTTCCTGGGGTCGGAAGGGACTGCGAAGAGGAGGGGAGTGCAAGAAAGATCTGAGATGGACAGATCTTGGGATCCAGCCCTTTGACTTTTCCTTTCTCTTATTCCTCTGGGTTGCAGCTAGAGTAGCTCTGGTGAAATGTCGAGATTTGCACTGGGCTATGATGGCCCATCGGGACCAAAGAGATGTCAGCTTAAGTTCCCTGCGAATGCTGATTGTAACTGATGGTGCTAACCCTTGTAAGTAGTTTTTCTGTTCTCTTGCGCTCCTATGTTTTTTTCCTCCTAGCAATCTTGACAACTGTGGCCAGCTATGCACATCTAGCCATAAGCCAGTGGAAGATGTTTGCACGTATCAGAATGGGTGCCTGTGGATGTGCTCACTCACATGCTCAAGGCTGCAGAATGCTCCCTGAAATATGGGCCTGCTGAAAACATGTCTCTTAGACTGTGTGTATGGGTTAACGGCATAATCTGAAGTTTTATTTAGGGCATGGCCATGTGTAATACAGTTCCATGAGAGACAAGGCACCAGAGGATATCCTTGCCTCAAGAGGGAGGTGACTTGTTAGAACCGCACTCCTCTGATTTGGCTGTCAGTCTTGTTATGCCTGTGAGCACTGAAAAGGGGATTGTGCCTCACTGGTGATTGAAGTGAGAGAAACAATGCTATGTGGCTGTTCATGTCTTTGCTTTTAAGTGTCTCCATCCTGCCTTCAAAAGCCAGCAGCACTAGAGACTTTGAGCCAGAACATTTTCAGATATGTAGGCTAGGAGCTTTGCAATGCAGGGAACAATTCTGAGGTTCCTTGCTGCTCCAGCTGGGAATTGGTTTACATTCTTTGATCCTCTCATTTCAAAGTGGGAGAATGGAGAGGGGAAGATGTGTGTATATTTTAAGACATGGTTTTTTCATAAAACGTTTGCCATTGCTGCAGTATTTTAGAGGAGAAAAAGTAAATGCAAACTGGCTTGCGTTATTCAATTTGCAATTTAATGTGCAGGCCATTTGCCATGTTTTTCATACAGCTTAAATAATTTCTGTTCTATAAAACAGTGATTTCTAAACCTGTGGGTCGGGACCCTCACCTGTTTGCAGAGCCCCACTGTTGAATTGCAAGCCCATTTTGCTACTGCTTTGGGGACTATTACTAATGTACCTGTATAGAGAGCAAGGGTGCCATGCCTCCCATCTCTCTACATGCATGTTTAGAGAGTTTGGGCAGTGAGGCAACAACACTCAGCCGTAGAGAGGATACCTCAATGGCTGTCACTCGTGACTTGTTCTTTGCTACAATCCTGGTGCTCAGAGTGTGTCCCCAGCTCTCTTTGTCTACTGTCCAAGCCTCAGTACTTATGAGGGTGTAACTCTGGTTCCCCCTCTTCCTGTCAAGTAATTTTCATGACAGTAAGCATGCTCTCTCTGGCTCAACCTTGTCAGCTACAATATTGGAGTCGACACCTCTAACTTACCTTGTAGAGCTACTGTAAAGATTACAGCAAGATAATGTATATTGAGTGCTTTAAACATTCACCTGCACAAATACTTCAGAACAGTAATTATTATTATTATTAATATACTAATAATTAATAATAATAATAAAAATAAAGAGAAATAGTTATCTATATGCAGAGAACATTTTTGCTAGCTCTTTCTACTTACAGAAATCTAGACTGTCAGTAGCTAAATGGATTTCTTGTAGAAAGATCACTTATACATTGCCTCTTCCCAAGAGCAGATAACATTAATGGCATTGACAAGGTTTTAAGACAGGGAGCAGAGTTTAGTACTTGGAAATTCCCTGGCAGAATAACATTAATGGCACTGATAATAAGACAGGGAACAGAGTTTAGTACTTGGAAATTCCCTGGCAGACAGCCCTGTAGCCAGGATTTGGGGGGGGGGGGGCCGGGGGGCACTAATTAAATTAAATAAATTTTACAATTAAATTTGAATTAAATTACTGGAGGATGCAGGCAGGCAGGGCAGAATGGTTTCACTGCGCCTGCTCCAGGCAGATCTCATCTGAGGCAGGCAGGGCAATGGGCGTTGAGCTCATCCACCCCCGCCAAGTCCCACAAGGCCACGTACTTCTCTGGGGGGGTGAGGGAGGAAGGCAGCGCTACGCACACACACACACACCCCCCCGGCCAACTGACTGAAGGGGAAATATTGCGCTCTGGACGCACAGCAGTGAAAAAAAGGGGCCAATATTAAAAACTAAATGTAGAAAATACATAGAAAAAGATACATGTCTTTATTAATTACACATTTTAAAACATATATAAGGGCCCATTCACATCAAATATATAAATAACATGGCAATACACACAGGCTTAAAAACATGACCTGGTGCGTTTCAGCTTGCATAGGCCTTCCTCAGAGGTCAAACAATTGAGTGGCAAGATGGCTATATAAATATAATACAATCATGTAGACACAATCAGAATGGATACAAAATATAAATTCAATATGGACCAGAAAACAAGTTGTTCCAGAATAAAACCACCAGGCACACAGTAAATATGCAAATGAGATCTTTAAAAGTGCAATCACTTGCCCAGTGGTTCTAAAGTATAGACTTTTGTTCCAAGAATTGCCTTCTTTGATTGTATTGCCACAGTGTTCTCAAGTAAAAAGCAGTGCCACTCAATTGTTTGACCTCTGAGGAAGGCCTATGCGGGCCGAAACGCGTCAGGTCATGTTTTTAAGCCTGTGTGTATTGCCATGTTATTTATATATTTGTAATTAATAAAGACATGTATCTTTTTCTATATATTTTCTACATTTAGTTTTTAATATTGGCCCTCTTTTTCACATTTCTCTAACCTTTGTTAGGTTCTCAATTTTAGTGTTACGCTTCAGTTTTTTGCCCTTTCTGTCTCCTCTTGATGTCAAGTTACATTCAAAGCTGTAGTGAAATGATTGAGGGATGCACAAGCATCGTGCAAGAATTGCTTCATTAAAGAAGGACTTGCCTGTGAGAGAGAAAAGAGAAAGCCACCCAGTGGCACCATAGCAAAGAAGACATGGGGGCATATGCATGTTTAAATTGCTCACAGGGGATGAGTTGGAGGATCTTTGAGAGAAATGAGCAACAGACTTGCATGGGGTAGCTGCTGCTTATGGGGCCTAATTGAGTGTCTGACCAGATGGTGTTCGTGAGAGGCAAGATATGAATGCCATTAGGGCTTCTGGATCAGACACTGGGAGGGAGGGGGGCTACACCGAGAGATGTGTACTAGTTTTCAGGGTGGAGGGGGAACCTTTGAAACCCTGTAACCTTCTTCCGCAAAGCGGTTTCAGAGTCACAAAGACTCTGAAAGTTTCTGTCTTTGTAAGGGATGGTTCTGAAATGTGATGTACAAATTGATGCTGCAGTTTAATTCTCAAGGTTTTATTAAGCGTTCCTGAGTCGCTGCTTTTCAGATAGGCCTGCACATGATGATGTAAGACGCTCGAGGTTTCAGGACTACATTACGGTGCCTTAATTAAATGAAGCAGCCTTATTTTACAAAGAGGCACTCTATTAGGGCACTTATACTTGTCTGCAGTACACTAAATCCTTTGGAGATCTGGTTATATGTAGGGGGTCATATAAATTGTCGATGCTGTGGTTTTCTACATAGTCTTTGTGTTCTGTTAACCCCGATGCTCGGTTTCAAATGAGAATGTTCACCTTTTAGGGTCTGTGTCCTCCTGCGATGCATTCTTGAGTTTGTTCCAGAGCCATGGGCTTAAACCAGAGGCAATATGCCCTTGCGCAACATCTCCTGAAGCCATGACGGTAGCCATTCGGAGGTACAGCCGTGTCTCGTTTGTACAGCTGTATTTCTTTGTGTTTCAAAGGATACACTGTTAGTTGATGCGTATGTTTAAGGTCTTTTTTAAAGCATCTGCAGGTGTATTCACTGTTTTGCAGATTCACTGTGAAAATTGGTGGCAGCATGGGTGGGACTACTGCTCACTTTGGATAAATGGGACATTTGCGCATTTTCTGGGGTTGGACCCCCCCTCCATAAATTTTCTTCATCCTTTCTTGATTTATAATGGTTAATGAATAATGAACTTTGATTACCGTTTACTAGAAAAGACAGCTATAATTTTTCCTTTACAATAAAACATAACTTTTGTTCCTGTAATCTGATACATGCTGCATTTTAGTTTGGTTTTATATTGTCAGGGTTTTTATAGTAAGTTTAGTTTCAGGACTTTTTTTTTTGACAGGCATTAGAATACAAACATAATTACTTAAGGTTATCCATGAGAAAGAAGCACAAATCCCACATGTGTCTGTGGGGTAGATCCATATGCAGCTCTTGGTATGGCTTTTGCTTTCATCATCAAGAGGTGCCCCAGCATACTGTGGGCTCCATAACAACCCAGATTTGGATAACTGTTCAGAGTACTCAGATGTTGGGTTTTCCCCAAGTAACTTCATGTGAAGTGGTCCAAGAAATTTATCCAAAGCCTGGAAGCTATTGATGTCCATGGTTTTGTGGCACTTTCAGAAAACCCAGTTCTACCAGATTTCCTAATTATGGGGGTGGGTGGTAATATCATCTGTGTAAAAAAATAATCCTGACAATGTCTAATGTTTTGTCTGTTGCACATGAAATCTGCCTTTCCTTCTTAGGCCTGGTGTTCCTGGAGCACCCTTGCCTGGAAGAGCCATCCTATCAATGAATGGGTTGAGTTATGGTGTCATCCGAGTGAATACAGAAGATAAGAATTCTGCTCTCACCGTGCAGGATGTTGGTCATGTGATGCCAGGAGGTGAAGTCATAGTAGTGGGAGAATATGGGAGGGCTGTGGTGTCTTGCTCCAAGACGGTTAAAAGTTGTCGTGAAAAGTAATGGGATTATAACTGGCATGATGTTTGCCACAAAAGCTGTTTGATTTCTGAAGTCATCTCAACTGCCACTCGGTCCATTGTCACTGTGCTAAATATCTCCTGGGTATTACAGTCAGTCCTTTTTATCTGTAAGTTATTTAGTTTATTAAGCCAACTTGTGCCAAAAAGAAAATAAGGCACCATCGTACTTAATCTTCAGATGACCTCACCCACAGTTCCCTGTAGAGCATAGGGCACAAAGTGGATCCCTGCAGGACCCTCACAGGCCAAAGGCTGAGCATCCGTTCCCCCAGCACCATCTTCTGAAACCTCCCCTCTGGGTAAGATTGGAACCACTGCAAAATGGTGGATCCCAGCTCCAGCCCGAAAAGGTGGTCCAGAAGGATACCACGATCCATAGTATCAAAAGCCACTGAGAGATCCAGGAGAATCAACAGCATTGTACTCCATCCAACTCCTGCCACAAGTTGTCCAAAAGGGCAACCCTGGCTGTTTCAGTCCCATAACAAGGCCTGAAACCAGATTGGAGAGAATCCAAACAAGTCCCTAGGAGTCGGTGCTCAAGGAAAACAATGTGCGTGCATGCACACACACGCATGTATATACACGTGCTTCCCTCAAGTTTGTTTTTTAAGTGCTTTGCCTGGTGTTAAGACACTGGAAATCAGTGTTCAGCTTGAACACTCGAAACACAAAATAGCAATTCTCACTTAAATGCAGCAGTTGCTTCTTAACAAGGTAGTCGAAGCACACATCCTCATATGTGCTAAAGCCCTCCAAGGGCATCCAGTTCTCAGGCTTGGTCTCATCCCATTTCTTATCTTCAAAATGTTTTCTGTATTTTCAAGACACACAAAATGTCAAGCCCCAAGTCTGGTTGTGAAGTTTGCTCTCCTTCGTTGTAGGAATGATGTGCATAGTGAAGCCTGATGGCCCTCCCCAACTCTGCAAGACGGATGAAATTGGGGAAATCTGTGTCAGCTCCAGAACGGGAGGGATGATGTATTATGGGCTAACTGGAGTAACTAAAAACACATTTGAGGTATGTAATTTATGCATCCTGTTTTTAGTTTCGAGGGAGTTATGCCGTTTGATCCAGTGAACAGACGGGTCATGCTCGTGGACCAAATGGGTGGGAAAGAAACATTTTTCTGTTAGGCCTTTATTATTGTTAGTATTCATATTATCTTATTAGCCCTTACGACAACCTGTGAACTACATCCCTAAGATGAACCCCACATAGCTGCTTGGGTGGGACGCTTGGGCTGCAAGGGTGGCTTGAGTGAGGGCCACCAGTGAGTCGGTGGCTTAGCTGTGGTTTGAACTGGGGACATCCGGTGCACCATTTATTTCTGTAACAGCTAAACCATAGCAGTTTAAGTAACGTTTAGCAACGTGTAGTAGCATCCCTACTGAAAGTCTGGCCCATCCATGAATCCCCGCCGTAAGAGTAAAAAGCTATTTTTATAACATCACATGATGAAGGAGCATATGAATATTGGAACTGTAGATAACAGATGCTAGACTTAAAAGAGCAAAATGATTCCTGTCAGAGCTGTTGAGCTTTAAACTTTCTGCAGACTGAGGCAGACTTTTCTCACTTGTTTAGGGCATCACTTTAAAGTCAGAGACCTTAGAATTGCCTTGCTTTTTGAAGTTAAAACGTTTCCCATCTGAGGGACTGGAAAAGCATATGTGCTTCTTGATATGCACATGTTTCTCCTGAACTCCTCACATGCACAAGGGATGAAAGCAGAGTCACATGATGTGTTTGGTTTCTGAGTGTGTTGCCCTGCTGAGAGCTACTAAATTACTACATTTTTCAGTATGCAAAAAGTTTCAACTGTAACTTTTAAGAACAGCAAGATGTTAAATGTGAAGTTTGAAAATGCACTGTAACCATGAAGCAGAAACCAGCATGGAGCTATGGAGGGTTTCTATTGATTTTTTTTTGGGGGGGATGACTTTATTTCCTTGCACCACATCTTTGCTTACACTCTCACACTTCAAACACACAGCAGAGAAGTTTCCCATTCTTTCCACAGTCAGTTTGATCCTGTGGCAGATCTCCACTGATAGAAGGGGTTTCTGTCAGCAGAACAAGACTTCCTACAACCCCCCTAGTCCCCTACCACTTCTGCCCAGAATGATCTCAGAAATGCTATTCCTAGGGAATCCCCCCAAAACAGAGGTCTTGAGCATCAGGGAAAAAACAGAAAAATGCCCCTCCCTATAACCTATTCTGGCCTTACTGCCCTTCCTTCTCCCTATTCTTATCTGTAGAACCAATATTTGGCAAAAACTCCATATTTCAGGTTTGATCTTTTGAGTACAGGTTTTCTTCCAAATAAAGTGAGGCACTTGAGGGGCAACAGAGGTGGGTGGTACACGTTGTGTTCTAACGAGAGTGAGTTTGGCACTGCAGAGAAGTAACTGGCTTCCTAGGAGGACCACAGCAGCAGGCGATGCCCTGCTTTCCCCATCTCACTAGCTTTTGTTTAGCAGGATTCTCTTGTGCCTGTCATGGAGAGTCATTGTTTTTGTCTGTGCTTGCGTTCAGTTCCAATTAATGTCAGCGGTAGGGTTATGTAAGCAAAACATGCCCTAGAGAGAGGGATTGATTCCGCCCCCCCCCATGCCAACCCCCCCCCCCCAGCTATACTGAGAACATGCTGCATCATCCTTCTCTCTGTGCATTGCCCTTCTGTCACCTGTGGCCTTTCTTCTCTTCTTTCAGGTCATCCCTGTGAATTCAGCTGGCTCTCCTGTGGGCGATGTACCGTTCGTGCGCTCTGGCTTGCTGGGCTTTGTCGGACCTGTACGTTGAGCTGCTTCTATTTCTGTTGTGCCACTGGGGCTGGGTGGTACTCAGATGTCTGAGACAAGCTCCCTCTTGACAAATATGGTTTTAAAAGCCCAGACATAATTGGTCTGGGATGCAAATACGAGCAAGAATCCGGTTGCTGAATAGCTTAGATCAGCATTTCACACTTTTGATACGTGAGGTGCAGTTTTGTCCCTCAGTTTAAAATCAGAGAAACACTTAAATCTTACATGCTTATTTTTGCCTCCTCTTGCTGTTCCCAAAGAAATGGGTTGGCATCCTCCTTGGATCTTCGAGGCAGGCTCATTAATACTGCTCAGCCATTCAGGGGTGGGATGGAGCTCTCACGGATAGTGGTCTTCAGCCCCGTAGACTGAGAACCTGAAGTGGGTCTCGAGGCGGTGCACAGCTGTCCTTTTCCCCAGAAGGACCCATCTATATTGCATCTAAGTAAAGAGCCCTAACAAAGACAAGACAATTTGTATTCATGTGGTAAGGAGGGAATGATTTTGTTTGCTGATGACTTTTGTCTTACAGGGTAGCCTGGTGTTTGTTGTTGGGAAAATAGATGGACTGCTGCTTGTTAGTGGACGCAGACATAATGCCGATGACATTGTGGCCACTGGATTGGCAGTTGAATCTATAAAGACAGTTTACAGAGGAAGGTTAGTGAGTGTCTCCCTGGATAATGATACAATGCACTATCCTGCCTAGCTATTTGTTTATATCTCTCTGAGCTATTTGCTTGTAAGATTTTTTTTCTTTTGCAAATGTGTGTGTGTTTCAACGTTTATGACGATTTTAATTGCTGTCACTCTTGTAAACAACTATGAAAATGCTGCCATATAGCAACCTGAAAATAATAGTAAGTAAACGAAGGGCTTCTGTGTCCTGACCTTGGCTGAAAAGTGACAGGGAACAGTGGAGCATTTTACTGACTACATACACATCTTGGGGTGCTCTGTCAACAGCACCAGAACTGGCAGCTTAAAGTGGGGGAGATGAATCTCTCAAATGCTGTTAATTTATTTGATGAGGTTGAAAGTTGCTAGTTTTGAAGATTCCCCGTCAGATAGAGAAGATCTTATGGATTTTGAACAAAATTACTCCTCCTGCAAGAGCTGACTGCATTTTGGAAGAAGTTTCAAAATGTACCATCCAATTTTGTAAATCTAGAGAACTATGCAAATTCAGAAACTTCTTGCAGTGACGGAATATGGATTCCATATTGTAAGGACAGAGAATGCTGGCAGAACAGTGCAGAGAGAGTCTTGAAAAGTTTATTCTCTTTTCTGAGGTTTAGTTTTGTGCCTTGAATTTTCCCAGACAGCTGTCTCTATCCACTATGCTACACCATGCTGGCTCACTTCCTTTTGTCTACTTTGCAGTATTGGTGGAGGATGCATGCTGGATGAGTGGTCGTCTAAAAAGGTTGACCTCACAAAACGGAGGAAATGAACTGTGACTCATGAAAGCCCATGCAGGAATATACGTTGTTAGTCTTTAAGGGACCTCAGTGGCCAGGCTGTCAGCCTACACGGATTCTCGCAGCCTGCTCTCTTCTGCCATTGCAGATGCCGCATTCTAGATCTGCGGGCATGGTTTCATCGAGGGAGGATATATGCTACATCCAGGGCTTTTTTTGTAGAAAAAGCCCAACAGGAACTCATTAACATAATAGGTCACACCCAACAGCAGAAACTCATTGGCACATTAGGTCACACCCTGACAGTGCAGCTCATTAGCATATTAGGCCACACCCCCATGCCTTCCCTTGGCTAGCCCAGGCAAGCCCCCCCTTGAAGGGAAGGGAAGGCAGTTTAAACTGCCTTCCCTTGGCTTGCTTAGGCGCCCCGCGGCTGCAGGGAGCCCAGACAAGCCGCTCTTGGACAGGCCATTTAAATGCCTCCCCAATCCTTCCAGCCCCACCCCCCGCCCGCCCACCTCGGAGTTGCTGGGGGGGGTGTTGCTCTCCAGGCCTTCCCTCTGTAGCCACGCAAGCGCAGAGGTTTTGGCTGTAGTGGGCGTGGCCAACTCTGAAGCCAGCCGGAACTCCGTTCCTGTGCGTTCCTGCCCAAAAATAGCCCTGGCTACATCTTATTTGTCTGTCCCTTTTAAGGATTGCAGTGTTCTCTGTGACTGTGTTCTACGATGAGAGGATTGTGGTGGTTGCCGAACAGCGGCCTGATGCTTCCGAAGAGGACAGTTTTCAGTGGATGAGCCGAGTGCTACAGGTGAGAGTGGCCTGGGCAGGGGGGGCGGGTTCCTGTCGTTTGATGGTTTGGTGGCACCCTTTTAGGAAGCACCCAGTATATTATTTTTTTTTTATGAATTTAAGATCATTGTACCCCTAAACTCCTTCAAGGCTGCTTCCAAATAGGCAATTAAAAACAATACTATGCAATCGGAAAGGGAACAGTATCACATGGGGGGAATCAGGCACAGTCAGCAGAAAGCAACCAATGTATGAAGCAGAGAAAAACGTAATCATTTCTCTAAGGGAAGGGAAGAGGAATTTGTTTCCTGTGCGGGCAAGACCTGCAGTGCATCAAATGCCTGTGCACAGACCTGTTCTAAATCCCTGGCTTGATTCTTCCAGTTCAGAGGAAGAAGCGGCAAGGCACAAATCCCTCCGGCCACATCCCATCTCTTCTCCCCACCCCCACCCCAATTGCTTCTCTACGTGCTTTCAGCATGGGAGTTTCCTTATGTGGATGTTGTTGATACCTTTGTAGTAGATGATGCGCCTGCTTGTCTCGCAACTGGCTCTTGGTTCAGTATATTATCCACAAGGCAGCAGTGGCAATCCGATGTGTGATTATGTTTACAGTATAGCAAAGAAGTTCTTGGGTGATTTGCTTGTTTCTCTTCTGGCACTTTCATGGAGATGAAAGAGAAACTAATTGCTAACTATTAGACTCTTGTTTTTGGGATATGATCCTCTTTTTTCTTGTTCTTAGGCGATTGACAGCATTCACCAAGTGGGAGTATATTGCCTCGCTCTTGTTCCAGCCAATACTTTGCCAAAAACTCCTCTAGGAGGGATCCATATATCTCAGACCAAACAACACTTCCTAGAGGGGTCACTCCACCCATGTAACATCCTCATGTGCCCCCATACATGCGTAACCAACCTTCCAAAACCTCGGCAAAAACAACCAGGTGAGGCACCTTGACGCTGGGACAAAGGGGAGGCCTCTTGAACAATAACCCTGCCCAGTTGCTATAAAGGTTGCTCTTGGAGCTTGTGAAAGTGCCCTCCCTGGAATACTACGTCCTTATAATTTCCCACAGCATCTCGTTATAGAATTTTGTTTCAGACTGTAAAGTGGAGAAGGGATGGAATCAGAAAAATATATTCTCTATAGTCAAAACACTCTGAAGTAGACTTTTCCGTAAAGAGCAGCTCATTTCTTGACCACTGCTGTTCAGCTGACTTTCATTATAAAGCATTATAAATTTATGTGCTCACAGTTTTCAGAAACAGGAGGCTGCTTTTTGTTACCTCAGCCCTCTTTTCTTTTGTTTCACTGTGCCACCTGCACAATCCTGGCCCATCCCTTCTACCTTTTCTCCATGTCTGGATCCCTGGAAACTCTAGCTGTACCTGTATTTGCTTTCTCACATCCAGCTCAGAAAATCTCCCTGAGCATATGTTAGCCACTCAGGCCTCGTAGGTGTCACTCAAAGGATTTGCATACTCTTAGAATTGGGTTCTCCCCTTCCTCCATTTAACGCTTCAGCTTTGTCCATCTGCCAGTTTTCCTCAGGGGGTCCCAAAAATGCAAGCTGTAATACTCGGTCACATGCTTTTGAACCTATTTCCTTTCCTTCAGCAACTGTATACACACAACTGTATAATCTTCCTCCTTTACCAAATGTTTTCTGCTGCTGTTTGCCAACAGGTGTCGGTCCTGCCTCTGTGATGGTGGGGAATCTGGTTGCCGGGAAACGCATCGCACAGGCCTCTGGGAGGGACCTTGGACAGATAGAAGAGAATGACTTAGTGAGAAAGGTGAGTTCCTGTGGCACTTCATTCAGCCTTGAAAAAACAGGTTAATACATTGGCCCCCCCCTCCCATACCTGACCATCATCCCAGGCCTAATAAACACAGTTTCCAAAACAAAGCATCGGAGTCCAAGGCTGGAAACCCCAGGCTGTGCAGCACTTCCCCTGGCCCTTAGGCCTTAGGAGGCAGGAGAGAAGAGTATCTCCCTGCTGCACATCCAGGAGAAATAGTTGTTCCACCTGTGTGCTGTCTACATCAAAGCAAGTATTGTGATCTCTAGCGGATCACTTGCTATCACTGGAATGTGGGAGTAAAGCTTACATCACTGCAGGAAACCTGGTTGGAGTCGTAGGTGCAGAGATAAGGATGGTGCAGCCTGTGCTCGTGTGTTGAGCCCCTGTAGCTCCTGCTCTTCGCCTAACTCCTGATTGAAGGGCAGGGCCCACATTGTCACAGCTCACAGCAGCTTTATGTCAGACTTCACACTGCCTCTGTGTTCCCACCAGGTTTTTTAAATTTTATTTTTATTTAACTTTCGGCTTATATACCGCTCAAACCCCAAAGGGTCTCTGAGCGGTTTACATAGAATTTATAATACCTATCTAGGGCCACATATTAACAGGGGCAATGACTGCCTACCAGCACCCAGGCAGCAGAGCGGGCTCTTGTTGTTGTTCGGCTCTTATCCCGGCGGGCTTCGGGTGTTGATGTTTTTCCCGACGTTCTCCCTCCTGGCGCCTTGGAGCTGGTCTTGGTTCAGCGGCTTCCTCCGGCGGCTTCCTCCTAGTGCGCGGCCACACCCACATCTGTGCCACTATTTAATGGGCAGCCAATAAAAGTGAGCCTCTGGCAATCCCACCTACCAGGCTTTTGCTCAGGCAGCCTGTTTAGGATTTCTCCCTGCTTCCCTGCAGCCTTCCCATCCCCATATCGTTGGTGGCATCTCTGTATTGGCCTTTGAAATCCTGAGGATGTTTTTGTGACTTGCAGCTTCTTCTTTTCACAGCATCAGTTCCTCTCGGAGGTGCTCCAGTGGAGAGCTCAAGCAACACCGGAGCACATGCTTTTCCTTCTGCTCAATGCCAAGGTACTGCTAGAGATCCATGATCTCGTACTGCAGTGAATAGCAAACGTTTCTGTGCATCGTGTCCATTGTAGAATGGGAAGGGGGAATCACAGTGGGGGATGCGCTTCTTCCAGGTTTGGGAGTCGCTTAAAGGCTGTGTGCCGTGTTACTTACTCCTTGGCGCACAGGGTTAGTCCAGCTAATGGAAGGCTATTTCAACATCAGGCAAGAGGCAGAGAGAATAATTGTTCCCCAAAGACATCCGTTATGTCAGTCTGAATGAATTGGGATGGTGAGCAAGTGGTGCTCCGGAGGCCTACAGTGGCCAGTGTTGGCACAGCAAAGTTGCCAGTGTGTTTCCTTCATGCTCTGCTGCTTACTTGTTTAGAATGTGCTCCTTTCTCCTTCTCTCTCAGGGAGCCCCAGTGTGCACAGCCACCTGCCTGCAGCTGCACAAGCGGGCTGAACGAATCGCATCGATTCTGTTTGAAAAGGGACACCTCAATGCTGGTGACAATGTGGTGCTGCTCTACCCTCCTGGTAAGGAACGAGGTGGTGTGGGGGAGCAGACTACGTAGCGGTTAGAAACCAGGCGGTCTCTAGAAGGGCATAGTCGGGGCAGATCACAAAGCAAAACTGTAATAAATGTTTAACAGATGCCTGAGTCGCTGATGGTTGCTCTGCTAAATGCGCTTTCACAAGGCCAGCCTTTCTCTTCCTGTATCTCAGTTTGTGGGTGAAGCCCTTTAAAACATAAATCTTCTTAAAGCTAGATATGTGTCATGAAACATGAACGCAGCTCTGGAGAAACATCCTATTGTTCTCTGCAGTATTCTCACCGGAATGATTCTCTCCTCTACACTAGGGAAAGATCAGTTGCCGTTTGGGCAGTGGACACTTAGTGGTTCTTCTTCGAGGTGTCTGCATCAGTAGACTGAGTTCTGTGCCTACACAGATCACCATTTAGAAACTGCTAGAGCTAAGCTATGTACATGTTTGGCATTCAAGGCGGAGAGGGCCTCTACACATGCCTCAGTTCTTATTCCACCCTTTGTCCACGGAGCTCAGAGTAGTGCACAAGTTTCTCCCTTCTCCATATTGTCTTCGTATAAGGAAGCTTAGGCTGAGTGTATGTGAGTGGCTGTAGTGTAGTGGTTGGACTAGGCTCTTAGAGACCCAGATTTGAGTCCTCTCTCTCTGCCACCCATGTCAGGTGACCTTGGGCCCATTGCAAACTCTCAGACCACAGCACCCCACAGGGTTGTTATGAGGATACAAATGGGGGAGAGTATAATGTGAGGCGCTTTGGGTTCCCACTGGGGGGAAAGGTGGGCTGTAAGCAAAATATATTAAGTAAATAGAATCATCCAGCAAGCTTCATGGTTCCATTGGTATTAAAACCCAAGACAGCTTTGCTGTCATCCTCCAAAACTAGGCCCTTTGGCTTGTAGAACAACAAATACACACATCTAGACGTAATTGCTTACTGTGGCTCAAAGGGTATGGCAGGCTCAGGGCTATTTTGGGGCAGGAACGCACAGGAACGGAGTACCAGCTGGCTCCTGAGTTGGCCACGCCCAGCAGGAACTCATTAGCATAATAGCAGACACTCATTAGGATTGGCTACATTAGGGGTGTGTGGCCTAACATGCAAAGACGTTCCTGCTACAAAAAAAGCCCTGGGTTTTGACAACAAAGTAAACAGAATAAGAGGCAAAAGGTTTGTGTGGTTGGATGACCACACTTCTGGTAACATGTGGGATGTGGCCTAATATGCTAATGAGCTGTGCTATCAGGGGTGTGGCCTAATATGCTAATGTGTTTCTGCTGTTGGGTGTGGCCTAATATGCTAATGAGTTCCTGCTGGGCTTTATCTACAAAAAAAGCCCTGGGCAGGCTGAATTGCCTTATGGTCAGATAACATGTGGTGGACGGAGCACAAGTACTCCGGCATCCCATCAATCACCGACTCACTCCTTGAGTGGGATAAATTATGTATGAGGTGATGCTCCCCCGAGGTCTTGTTAGGTAGCAGTCCCAGAGGAGATATGGGTAGATTAGGTACTGGGAGGAGAGGGAAAAGGCCCAGCACTCTCCTCTCCCGACATTCTTTATCAATCTTAGCCCTGACTACGCGTTCCATCCCCTTCATGAAGTGTAGGTTATTTGTCCAGTACTGCATCCTTGGGCCTTGGCATGGATATAAATACACCTGGTTTGGGCCTGCTGTTTTTAACATCCTGGGGCAAATTTAGAACTCTTTGACAGTGAGGATTATTTGGCACCAAAACAGATGACATGAGCCTGGGGGGGGGAGGAGAGATCTATTGCTTGTTTCATGGAAATCACCCCCACTGACCAACCCCATGGACATAAACTCCCATATTTCAGTTTGACCTCAGCATCTCAGATCCTTTTGTCTTGCTTTTGGATACACTTGCTACTGGTGTGAGGTCCTTTTTAGCCTTTCAGCAGACATGAGGGTCTTCTTCAAGTGCATGGTAGTGGGTTCTCCATCATTGGGGCATTTTGATTTTTCCGTAGGTAGACCACTGGCTTGTGGTAGCAGACTCTCGCATCACAATGCAGGTGCTGGCAGAGCTGGGCCTCCAGGTCAATACTGCTGAAATCCCAGCCTTATTTCACCAAACAGATCCGGTTTGTAGGAGCCTTCCGTGACTTGGATGCACTAAGGCACTCTGACCACGCAACAAGGGACACACTATGCCCATCCCTGGTCAACAAATGAATCGTTCTGTACTGCTGCTGTGAGAGATCCTCCCTCACTTGCATTTCCAGCTTGGGTTGTGGGTCAGCTGTTTGCCATTAGATGTCTAAGGCGCTTGTTGCAAAAAAAACCCCAAAATGTCATGTGGACATTTAGCTGCTTCTTCAGTATCTTCTTTGGTCCCTTTAGGCATTGAGCTCATTGCAGCATTCTATGGCTGCTTGTACGCTGGCTGCATCCCAGTTACCGTCCGGCCTCCACACGCTCAGAACCTCACTGCCACTTTGCCCACCGTGCGGATGATTGTAGATGTGAGTAACAGAGAACTGAGAGCAGCATGTCAATGGATGGTTTTGTGCCTGCCTTTGTCGTTTTAGTGTAACAGCATAGCTTTTTCTCAAGCATCAGCATGTACAGTGTGGGTGTGTTCATAAGCAGGACATTGTATTATGCAATATACTGTCCTGATCAATATCGCAGTAAAAATGGTATCATCTATATATCTAATAGCCAAGTTGCCCCTGTGAGTGCGGATCACTAAATCAGCACTCCGGGGGCACTTGGGGGGGAGGGGGAAGTTTGTGCATACGTGGGCTAGTCCCCACGTGTGCACAAAAATGCTAAACCTTGAAAAAAATTTCGGGGAGATGTTTAAATCCCCCCGAAAGTGCAAGACCGTTCCGTGCGCATGCGCACGGAACACTTGGCAACCGAGGCTGCCGCCGCCACTGCTTGAAAGGGAAGCGGCGAGCAGCGAAGGGGGGGGGCGAGTGGTGAGGGAGCCTAAGGAGCCTCGCGGCCGCCGCCGCCTTGGAGCCGGGCGGGGGGGAGGACCGGCCTCGCCGCAGCCACCGCCTCCTCAGGGAGATCAAGCGGGGGGGGGGGTGGAGGAGACGGCG